AAACCTTATTTTCAATAAGCAATCCTGAAAAATATTTGGGGGTGCTTAACTTTTTTCCAGGTGTATAGTAAGGTTAGGAAGTGAAGTTTAGTACAGTAGTATATAGTGAGGTTAGGAAGTGAAGTTTAGTACAGTAGTATATAGTGAGGTTAGGAAGCAAAGTTTAGTACATTAGTATATAGTGAGGTTAGGAAGTGAAGTTTAGTACAGTAGTATATAGTCAGGTTAGGAAGTGAAGTTTAGTACAGTAGTATATAGTGAGGTTAGGAAGCGAAGTTTAGTACAGTAGTATATAGTAAGGTTAGGAAGTGAAGTTTAGTACAGTAGTACATACAGAGATTAGGAAGTGAAGTTCAACCCTATATATACAGGCTGATAATTTTGACCAACCTTGTAACCACCATGAAGCTATAACTGTAACTCTGAATCTACTAAGTGTATCTTAAAGAAATTTGACTTTTAGTAAACATTACAAGTCTGTTATAAACATAAAATCAGATTTTTAATAAAATATTTTAACTGAAGATTTTTCTGCGAGTTTGCAAAACTTTTACTAAGTCAGTCTGAAAAAAGATTTTCATGCTAAGAATAGATTTGTTTTTTAATTTTAAAGTTTCATATTTCATTTGCATAACCTCCACAATCTCCAAAATGAATATCCGGTGTTGTATTTTTCCTGATGAAACTTCATATCTTATTCTCTCTACCCCAAGACTGACTGTAACAATGTACATAAAGTAAATTGTGAAAAATATAAAATCAAATCAAAACTATCTTCTTCTTTATATAATGACTGCAGATTGTAGCAGACAATTATAATAATTTATCCTAACAGCCTCAGCTGTCTAACCTCTTTACATCTGCTTCCCTTTCAATTTTATTACTTTACATTTCTCTTAGACCCAATCTAAATACATGACAGGCAATTAACCACAGTGGGTGAACTTACCATAAACAATCAACCAGGTTACAATCACTTGATGCAGTTAGCTCAAGCTGGTCTCATGAAAACTTTTTTAGTCATATACTTTTTGTTATCTAACTAAGTTTCTAATCTTTACATTTTATCTAATTTTGAAGACGATTTCAGGAATTTGTATTCAAATTGTATTCATACTATGTTGGCCCTCCATAAAATCTTTAGTGTTCTTTTCAAATATGCATTTTAGAACAAAATAAATATATCAGACAATAGAAACTACTATAATTTAACTGGCCTTCTAACTAAGCTGTAAAAAGGTTAAAAAATTCCATTAGCTGCTTAGAGTAGAAGAGCATAATCACAAACAATGAAACTGAGGCTATATAACTACTTATTGGCAGCAAAATCAAATAATTATGCAAGAAATCTGGTCTAAAAAATGCTGCTCTTTTTGTTGGTTATAAATAATCTAAGAACAATGTCAGAAAGAATTATTGACACTCCTTGAAAGACAGAATGACATGGGAAGGGTATGTTATGAGGGCTTGACATTTTTTTACATCTCAGTAAAACAAGAAGATTTGAGGTCCTAAATTTACGTTCTAGCTTATCAATATCAATAATATGAATTTCTAATTAGTTGAACACTCAGAATATAATATTAGGATAGAAGGAAAATGTTAAAATGAACAATTCAGAACACAGATGTATAAGGTGACACAAGGAAGTGAAGACTGAGAATCTATTTAAATATTTCCTTCTGAAATTAAGACTTAGTTAATATAAAAATCTGAGTTATACATTTTGATGCCAAGGTTATAGATATACATTAATAATAAAGTTAATTAGTAGCATGAGCACTTTTACCCTCTTGAATGTATAGGGTTAATACAGTGTAACGATTCACAACTTACATCAATTATCCTGCTGAGCTTTGTCGAGAAATCCGTCGAGTTGTCAATCACATCAAAATATGGATGCCCAACCCAAGCCTTAAATACCAAATACATTAATATTAAATCTTAAAATATTTATATGTAGAGAATGTTTTACTGAAACAAGTTTTATGCTAGATGCAGAAATATTTAACTATCTATGGATAACTTAAGCAATGATACATTTAATAAGTTTTACTAGCTAACTGTCTGATGGTTTTCACTCTTCCAAGTGTTAAAAGAAAAAAATTAGTGTAACAAAATATATTTCTATTCAACTTAAAATCCTTTTAACACCTGTTCATATATATCAAACTGCATTTTTCACATTTGTTATTATTACATATTTTCTATAATTGCTGGAAAGGTTTATCACATGAAATAATAATCAAACTAGACTTCAGGACTAAAATTTGACATTTGAAACATGATCATACATTTTGCAGTGCTTGTTTGTAATAATTTCATGTATAACAATAAAGATATCTAAATACACATTTAGTTGAAGCAAACTTGAATTTTACGATGCTCATCATGGCTTTAAACACCGGTACTGGAATAATATTAAAAATGAAACCTTTCATTAAGAGGATTTGAATATGAAACAGTTTTTCTTATTTTACTCATATTTTTCTGGCCTATCAGTTCTGGGTTAGTTTTGTATTTAAGTCTGCAATACTATTGTTTTATTTATAATACTAGTTCATGTAAAAACATGTTAATCAGCACCTGAGCAGCACGTCGGTCCATCTCTCTGGCCAGTTCTAAACCCTCTGTTCTTGTTATATTGTCTAGAACATTGTAGAATGCTTCTGCTCCATTAGCAGCTGACATCTGTAATGAGTTCAGCAAGCCAAAATGTCAATAACATCTGAAATGTTAGCTGTTAAAAAGTAAAGTAACTGATGAAAGTGGTACTTGAACTTAACATGTAAAATAACTGAAGAAAGTGGTACTTGAACTTAACATGTAAAATAACTGATGAAAGTGGTATACAAACTCAACAAATAAAGTAAATGATGAAAGTGGTACTTTAATCTAACTAGTAACTTTTAAATAAGGTGATCTGAATCAAACAAGCAAATGATAAATAAATAAAAAAAAAGCTGCCTAAGCCTAACAAAGTAATTGATGAAAACAAATTACATGAAAGCAGTAAGTGAAATAATGAAGTGCTAATGGTCACCTAAGCTTACCACATGAAGTACATGATGATAACGATTATCACGGATGTCCACAGGGTTCCAACCAAATTTTTTCAATATTTTGTCCCATTCATCAGGTACTATGACTGAAAAAGAAAAACACTTGAAGTTCACATCTATTGTTTTTATACAAACACTTAAGATTTTAGACTAACAATGAAACTTAATACAGAGGGAGGATCAATGATTTTTGTCAATAAGGGGGGGGAGTCTTCAACAAGGTTATGAAACCTTTCTAAAAATTCACGTTGCAGGTTCAACTTGCATTGCACAAAAACAGCATTTGACAGCAGGGTTATTTGAGACAATCAGAAACACTGAATTCTTAACCAAACCTGTTTGTTTGGCAATTCCATTGTAATATATTACAATATATTACCCAAATTTTTAAATTCACATTTAATGAAATCCTTATTAACTTTGTGCAACTGGTATACACAACACAGCACTTCCTCTATATTAAATCAATATTAACTTTAACTCACACATAATACATTACGTGATAATATTAACACACTAAGTTGTTAATACTAAAACATAATATTGTCTCCATATTAACATCTCTTAGCCTTCAATTTAACACCTTATGATATGCATATTAACACCTCTAACCTTCCAATAAACACATTTTGATACTAATAAATATTCAGTTATTTAATAATTTTAACAAATAATCCCACTGCAAATTCTAAAGCACTTTTAATACTTTCTATATATACGAAAAAATGAAACATCTTAAAGAATCAGTAACAAAAGTTTTATCAAATTCTAGTATGTCTGATGCTTGATATTATATGATAGTTTGTTTTATTTATTTATTTATGAAGTATTATTCAAGACAAGGACTAGTTGTGATGAATGTAATTTCTAAAGTTCTGTTATTTACCTATTTGGATAAAATAAAAAACTTCTGTTTATATTTAAAACTGAAATCTCTAATTGAATAGCTAATTCACAAACTGATGTTATAATATTTATTTCAGAAATACCCAGTAACTCTGTGTAAAGCTAAAACCTTATTTGATAATAAGCTATTTAGCTGTTGCAATACTTATTTCAATAATATTAGGCTGTTCTGCTAAAATAGAAACCTTTTATTTAACAATCCCCTCACAAACTGATGTTACTGCATTTACTTCAGAAATAGCATATAGCCCTGTTTACTTCTAAAACTTGTAGCATTAGTTTCATAAGCTGATGTTTGCATTTAAACATCACAGTTCTTATTTAATAATCCACTTAAAAATGGATCAATCCATTGTTCTTCTATCACAAATAACCAAACAGTTTTGCTTACAGCTAAAACTAAAAGTTCTTGTTTAAATCAACTCACAAGCTGATGCATCCATTGTTCCTCTATCACAAATAACCAGACAGTTTTGCTTACAGCTCTCAGCAAGGCTAAAATAACACTCTTCTAGAGCCATCATCACCCTGAGAAGATCATGTTGGAAACGTATGGCTGCAAGCCAAAAAGAAAACACACAATACATATCCTTAATTCTGAAAGTTTCATGCAAACTAAAAAGTCAAAATCTTTTTTGTACACATTTGCACAATACATTTTTGCACAACACTGAGAATCGGAGTTTCCGATATGTTTACAAGCTAATGTAAATTTCTAGACCTTCTCATATTATGTTACTTTTCAACTACTGAATTGAAAGAAAAAGTGAGTAAAATAAACATGTTTACATTGCAGATGTTTCACAAAAAAACTTAAAATAAGATGGTGTTTCAATTATTACTTTGAGACAGAAAACAATAACTTAAAAATTTCCATGTTCCAACAATTATCAGTCCATCTAATAAAATTTTTATATACTATGCAATTTTTTTTTACCTTCTTCTGCTGTTAGGTCTGGAAATCGGACTCCACCACTGTAACAATTAAAAACTACTGTTCAATATTTTAAACTTTTTTCTAGATCATTTTATCACACAAAAAATTATACAAAATTTCAGGTTTGACAAAAATAAATTCAACCCTTTTCACAATTAACACTAATTAGCCACATCTATTGTACAAATATAAGACATTATTTTCTCTAAAATACAAAGACACAGAATATAGACAAATGAAAATAAAACTGAATTGCACAACTAAATGTAAAACAGCAAGTCAACAAGTATAGTAAAAGATACCCATGGACACATTTTCTATAAATTTTATGTTATATTAATTTCACTTTAAACCATAGCGTCTATGCTATTCCAATGATAATTTTATAAAATTTCTCTTAAAACAATATCTTCTCTAACTTATTTCTATATACTGTTTTACAAAAATTACTTCTTTAAAGCAACCCTTTACTTACAACTCTGATCTTCCAATGATACTCTCAGATACTCACTCCTCTAAACCTAAATATTTTCTACATTACAATACTAAACATAACTTCTACAAACAAGTATTTTCTTTAGTCTTGCAATGGTAACATTCAGAAGCCACTTTACTCAAACAGTGTATTATTACACATCTATTATTGCATCTTTACAAAAGCTACACTTTAAATATTAGACTCACAATAATTGAATGTTAAAACCGAGTAGTTCGTTAATATAAGCTTGTGATATTCCCTGAAATTTTAACAAATTTATGACAAAAAATAAACGTTTTTCAACATGTACAATGATGTTTAAGTAATCAAAAACCAAATTAGTGTTCAGGTTTGTTATATTTAAATTCAGAAATATACAGAATCAAATATATGATGTTTGTGCTTATCCTTCATGGATGTATATGTAAATAATTTTCCTGTAGCAAGATATATTGATAATATGATTTATTACATGGAGGTATATGGCATTAAACTAAAAAATTGTTTAGCCATCACTAATTAATAATAAAACCATTCAATTACAAGAATATATTACAGAAGATTGTCAGTAAATATTACAACAGATTAAACATGAAGAAAACAATTAATATGCAGAATTGTTAACATCCTAAATTAGTAACAGCTAATTTTTTCCCAGCTTGTACTTAATTTGATAAATTTGTAATATGCTTTATCATTTCTTATAATATAGATGCTGTGAACTATGCAATAGTTTGTTTAGTTTACACTTTTCTGATATTATGATGCTGTATGTATGTACATCACCCTTTTTTAATTGTTACAGCCTTTTTACATTCTTTATTCTGTAAAATATTTACTTAGCCCGAAAGTTATCCTAAGAATAGGATTAAAAGCTTGATATTGCTATTAAAACAGTTTTAATGTGGTGTAAACTCATATCCTAAGAATAGGATTTCATGACTATAATTTTCCTCATACATATATTCTAACAGATAAAAGTTTTTCAGAATCTCTTCAAACTTATGTTACTTAAGGTCTTCTCTTTGACTAACAGGATCAATAAGACCTTATACAAACATATATGGGGGGAGGGCATTTTGCAAAATATATTAAATTTTATTTTATTCCACTGTTGTAAATTTCTTATGTCAAAGATTTTTGCTTGAAGGTACCTAAAGAATTTACTACATCTCACAATTTTTCCAAACAGCTTATAGTACATGGATGATTAGATTCTGAGTATCAGAATTTTTTTACTCATTCAGTCAAACTGATCCATGATGAACACTCCAAAAGCTTTTGTGAACAATAAACAGAAGATGGTTTCTAGTTCAGAAGTTGAGTTAAAACAAACATGATATGGATTTAACTCTAAACATTTTAAGCCATATACATTTACTTGTTTTGAAGTAAAAATTATCAAGAGGGTAATAAAAAAATCATTATGGAGAAACTCTGGCTTCAAAAGTTAAATTAAAGAAAATATGTCTCATAAAAAATATCTTTCAGTGGAAAAATGTACAGTCACACACTATTTAAAATTAAAGCTACATTTGTGGTGATAAAACCTTTACAAACCTAAACAGCAAGGTAGCAGCTTCTGGAACACGGTAAACCTGAAAATAAGCTAAGATTAGGACTTTCAAGACATAACACTCAGGAATACAAAGCAGAAGAAAAGGATTACAGAAAGCCACAAGAAAATTAAAATACAAAGTTATATAAATATGCAGCTTATGAGAAAAAGGAAAGGGAAATGTAAGAAAAGCTCTTAATTCTCATTGTTATTGATAAACTGTGACTATATGCTATAAAACAGCTGGTATAAGCTGTATCTGTGAATCAGTCCAGAACTTAACTCCCATGATAGCTTACGGAAAAATGATTAAGGCTGATATAAAACTAATAACAGCACCAGTCCTACAGTAGCTGATGTGATAATAACCATACAATTCCACCATGATGCCAGAATGAAAATCTTCAATTTTCCATTCCACGTCTACAATTTTCCTGCAGAAACCAAGTCTACCAAGTTACACACTAAGATCACAATTCACAGTCTTACTTTTAAAGCCTTTATTTTGGAAAACTCACTGATGATTACTGTAAATGATGTTATTGTTGCTTCCATAGAGTTACTGACAAACAATTGTTGGATACTAAATGCCCAGTTAATAATAAAACAATTCTGAATACTACATGTAGACATCAGTGTTATTTATATACAGGAATTTCATATGGTAATTTTTGTCTGTCCACACAATTACTTCCCATTGCAAATCTTCTATTTTTTGTCATAAAAAGAAAATATAAAAGTATTCTTTATTAAAATCTTGTTTTTAGAAGAACAATACGCAAATTATTCTTGTGTGTGTTTATCTTGATGATGTTGATATTCATAACGAAATCATAGTGACCTGATAAATTATTATAGATACTGTTGTTTTGTAAAGCTGTATGACCTACTTTTGATTTGGTTTTGAAAATTATGTTGGACAGAATGAAATAAGTCATCAAAATCAAAAATGAAGAAGACCCAGTACAACAAAATGGTTGAATTTTTCAGCTAACATTAAGAATTTTATACATAATTAATTGTGACTGGCAGCTGAACTAATAACAAGATGTGGTTTTTCAGAAGAAAAATTCTTAGCCATATTTATTGTGCTAAGAATCTAGTAAATGTTTATTTGGTATCACCGATTGGGGTTATACATTTACTAAAAATGTTATTTTAAAAGTATGCCCAGGTTAGAGCTATGCATCATAGGTATAGTGTTTAAATTTTAAATTCTACTACTTAGGCTTAAAATTTACAGTAACTTGCATACTTTTCCATGCAATAAAAGTTTGATGCTTTGCAGATGCTGAACACTGTATAGGGTCAGAGAAGGCTTTTCTCACCACAACCCTCTCCCTCTACTTTCTTTCATTGCTGGTTCCTTTAAAACTTAATGACACCTCTGTGTACAGCTAATGATAAAGTAGTTTTGTATAAAAATAAGGAAGGCCATAGTAAAGTGAGTATATAAACTTATAAAAACAAGAAAAAGACAAATTACAATTTTTTGAATGGTTTAGTTGTCATGATCAGGAAAGACATGTGAGTGAGAGTTAAGAAATTTGATTTGAAAATGTAAGTTTAAAATTGAACTAATCATAAAGCAACTGAAATAGCACTGTTGAATCAATATAGTGGGAAACCTAGATATTTGTTTATAGAGGTTTTTTTAAAATTCCTTATGAAAAAGACTTACTTGATTTTTCAGTTGCAGTTATTGTTTACCTTAAAAATTACATGAAATGAATGAAAGGAGATGTTGTGACTAGTCTTATGTTGAAAGGTGCAAGAAGATGATGATTTTGCTGGTTTATAGACATATCACATTTTCTTCCAGTCTCATCTGTGTAACTTATGGTACAACCTTGGCAGTTGAGTTTATAGACAACATTACTTACATGGTTGTTTTCAAATTTATTTGATAGAATACTGCCTAGTTTGTTGTCAGGTATAAAATTAAATTTAACCTTTACATTAATATTGTGTATTTTTACACAGACAAAAACCATAACCATTTTAAAGCATGAGAAAAACTGGGAATGTAGGGTAAGAAACAGGTATTGGTATCTTTACTTCAGTTGAAATTATCTGGGACATCACACTTAATACATTTATGAGAGTTGATAGTTGTATTTTTTGATGATAGTTTTAGGAAATCTGTTAATAAAGTACAGTATTTTTGGATGTTAAATTTCTGAATTCAGATGTTTTGGGAATTGCAAATGGTTAAAGGAATAGAAATGAAAGTTTTTAAGATTTCTGTTTTTTGATAGGAATTCCAAGGTATGTAGAGGTTAGCATGTATAGCTTTGTGATAAATACTTTGTGGAGAAACCTTTATCTGATCTATGTATAAAGATATTGAGAAATGATAAAGTGCTATGGTTTTCTTGTTCTATTCATGGAGAAACCTTGATCTGTTCTACATATAAGAACATTGAGAAATGATAAAGTTCAATGTTTTATTTTGTTCTATGGTGAATTTTGTAGACTAATGTTGGTTACATTTTTGTACAAAAAATTGGGCTTAAAGCCTGTAAATATGTAATCAACATGTTGTAGCTAATATACATGAGGGAAGAGTGCAGTATTTAGAGTATGCTATTCAATGAAAATCATAAATTACAAAACACAGGGGGCAAATGGGTTGCCATGGCTATCCCATCAATCTGAACATAATTTGCATTGTTGAACTGAATGTTTGTCATTCTTGTAGCTAATTTCAATAATTCAGTAAGTATAAGACCAATGAGGAAAGAGGATCATTTTAGGAAAGAGCAATATTAAAAGCATCTTGGACAGGGTTTTTCATACTACTTGAAAAATATCTTTTGTGTCCTGCTACTGACAGGCACTTAGCATACTGGTTAATGTTTACAAATCTAAAGTCCTAGTTTTTTTTTCTCATGCATTTTAATGGTTGAAGCCATTTCATGTAAACCTCTAGGCTATTCAATAACATTTGGGTATTTTAATAAAACAAAACACAAAATGCATGAATAAACATATTTCTGATACAAAATCTTGAAATTCATATCAAGTACATGCATTTACTTCCAGTTGTAACAAGTTTTCTTTGGATTAAATTCACAATCTACAAAGCATTATTTAAAACAAAGCAGCACTGCAAAAAGTAATGGATAAGAGTCATTCATCAGATTTATTCATTAAATTCATTAATTTTACAGAAATAAATTTCACTACTGCATAAAAAGTTTGATCAGCATGCAACATGGACACAAATCAATTAAGAAAATATTTATATCAATGTTACTGAACTTTGTGTTCTCTGATCAGTAACAATGCCCCAGGCACTTATGCTTTCCTTTTACAAGATTATCAAGTTTAACAAACTGCCTGGACCAGCAGGTTTTTTTCAGGCCTTTTTTTTCAAGATATAACATATATTAGGTCATCAAGAAATTAATGTCGCGTTTTGGAACACTCTCATTAACCACCCCCAAGAAAACATACAATCACATATAATAGTTAAACAAACTGCCTAAACATCGCGTTAGTGTAGCCTATATAATGTGCAAAGTTTAGTATATTCTAATCCCTTATAGTGATAGCACACGATGAGACACACATTTGTCATGTAATGCTGTTTGAATACAAGAAGGGAAAGAATGCTTCTGTACCCACAAAGAATATCAAAGAAGTTTATGGAAATGTTTTGAATGAAACAATACATAAACATCTAAGGAATATGGAAAAACTCCATAAAGAAGGTGCTTGGGTGCCTCAAAAACTCTCCGATGATGTAAATGTTGCTTCGTCTCTTCTGACACGTAAACCATTTTTGGTTGGAATTGTCACCGGTGATGAAAAATGGATCCAAAAACAATGATCAGTCCTAGACAAAAACCACTTTTGACCCAAAACCTGGACTCCATCCGCAGAAAGTGATGCTTTGCATTAGGTGAGACATCAGAAGTGAAATTCATTTCGAACTCCTCAATCCACAACAAACTGTCAATGCAGAGATCTATAGTCAGCAACTGGAACGTTTAAATCAAACCCTTCATCAGAAACGCCCTTCACTCGTCCATCGGAAAGGTGTTCATCTCCACGACATTGCACACTCACATGT